TTTCTCATCATGGCCACTTCACGCCAGCCATGTTAAAGGTATGGTTGCCCTGTGATTGACACTACATGGCTTCATTCCATCATTCACCATGGCATTATGAAAGAGCCATGCTTATTGCTTCTGGCAGTGCAGACCAGTGTTCCAAAGCTAACTATAACAATAAATTACTGCAAATGTGATATGCAGTAAGACTGTTAAAGTCAATGAACTGTATATTTTACTTGTGAATTCTGTATTTCATTCTGTATTTCATTTTGTCCCATGTGTCTGAAGAAGTGGACTTGATCCTTGCAAGTTCACATTAAAGGTCTTTAAACGTCATTAATAGTCTCTAAGGTGCCACACGGTTGTGTCTTCTTTTGTTCCTTTGGATTTTGCCTAATATGCTTGCACAGACTAACATGGCTACCTCTTCTTAAACTATAACAACAACAACAACAACAACAACAACAACAACAACAACAACGACAACGACAACGACAATGATAATGATAATGTGCTAGCAAGTCAATCCTTTTCAGAGTTTTCTAGGTAAGAGAGTCCTCAGAAATGGTTCACTATTCCACAACAACAACAACAATGATAATGATAATGTGCTAGCAATCCTTTTCAGAGTTTTCTAGGTAAAAGAGTCCTCAGAAATGGTTCACTATTCCCTTCTTCTGGGGACATCCTGGAACTGTGCAATTTTCCCAGAGTTAACTACAACACAAAGATATTTTCATCGCCAAGAGTTAAGTCTTCCCAGATCTACAGTAGTAGCTTAACTTCTATGGATTTCATAGGCATTCACAGTTCTTTCTTTTCATTTTAAAAGTCCTATTGAGAAGTATGGCAAGAGCCCTCAGATCAAAAAAGTGGCATTGATCTGAAAAGCATTTCAACTGACCCTATTGTCACTTATTCACGGCTGGGAATGACTTCACTGTAATGAAAAGGGACTTCCAAGGACTGACATTGTGGATGGCTCTGCAGGAGCAGATACAGAGATGAAGGAGAGTGAAAGCACCCATGGAAAAGATGAAAGGAGAGAGGGGCTCAGACTGAAGCAGTAGCTTCTCTCTGTCAGTTTCCACACTGAACTGTGGAAACAGTGGCAAGCACTTTATAGCTCTAGGAGATTAAGGTGGGGAGTGAGTGAATAATTGTGGCTGAGATGAAATGAAACTGAGATGAAAGTGCCTACAACTAAGTTACATTTTATTGTTTACAATAAATCATGGAAGTTAGAGAAAGAAAACCTAGCCCATTTCTAAACAGGCACCACTCATGCAAGACTTATTTCAGATTATATTGAATTAATCAATTCATAAATTATTAAATATTTTCTACAGAAATCCAAGATTGCTGCATTGCTGCCGCTGCCGCTGCTGCTGCTGCCATAAATTATTAAATATTTTCTACAGAAATACAAGATTGCTGCATTGCTGCCACTGCTGTTGTTGTTGTTGTTGTTGTATGCCTTCAAGTCACCTCCAACTTATGGCGACCATCTGAATAAGTGATCTCCAAACTGTCCTGTCCTAACAGCTCTGCTAAGCTCTTGTAAGCTCAAGCCAGTGGCTTTAGGAAGCCAGTCCACCTTGTCTCTGGTCTTCCTCTTTTCCTGCTGCTTTCAACCTTCCCCACCATTATTGTCTTTTCCAGAGAATGTTGCATTTTCATGATGTGTCCAAAGTAGGACAGCCTCAGTTTCAACATTTTTTGCCTCCAGAGATAGTTCTCTCTTGATTTGCTCTTGTTCATATTTCTGGCAGTCCGACGTATCCACAAAGCATTATACAAGATGTAAAGTGAAGATGTTTTATTGATTCCTGATCACCCTCCTTCAGTCACCAGTGAGACATGATAACTAATTTTCATGCTCAGATAGTGCCAGCATGACTATTCTAGATGTCTTCATCATTTTATAAATGGACAACACTGTTCACTACTATAATGCAGCTGATTTGTTTTCGGTATCAAAGTCCCATTACTGTGTGCCATTTTGGAATGCTGAATATGTGTAGTGTTGTAAGCCCATAAATGGAGATATGCTGAAGAAATCCAATTTGCAGTGTCTCTATTGTAAGCAATACTTAATAAACAAAATGAGAAAAAGAGGAGGATGTCAGTAAGCAACCTTGTTCTACCAATACATGTTCAAAATCCAATTGTAAAGAAGTTGAGAAACGTTAGAACTGGCTTGATATGCAATTCTTCACTGCATCTTTGAGCTATTGTGTCTCAGTGGATTCGAGCACTTGCTGAAAGAGGCATGGGCCAGGGGTTTGAGTTCCCACTGTATGTGCCAGGAGAGGGGCCATCTGAAATCCTCTGGAGCATGCATGGTTGACAGGATTAAATGCCTTGCCACATATGTGACCTTGGAAAAGTTGCACAATCTCATGGCATCACTAGATGGAGGGCCAAGTAAACTGATTACAACAACTTTATACCTAGACAACCTTGGGAGGGTCACTATAAGTTGAAATCAATGTGACAGAACAGACCTGTGTTATTTTATGTATCTGTCTTTTTAACTAAAAAATAATATACAACAGATGAATAAGATGACTTGCTGTTTTTCGGGCATTAGAAATTCAGTCTTTATTAGAAAAGCTCTTTTCCTGTTATGAAAACAGCCTTTTTTTTTTTGTTTAGCTTTCAAATTTATGGTTAAGCACCATTTTTGTCTTCTGGAGATATGATCAGAGCACATACACAGAACTTTTCTGTGATCACTGATGGCGCCTCTGGTATCATTTATTTCTTATCTCATTTGGAACAGGCTTGAACCACTCAGGAAATCTGATAAGTGGCAGCTTTGGGGAAGTCACAGACTGACTGACTTACTGTGTGGATACCAAGGCTCGATGTTTAACTCATGCACCAGGAGGGTGTTTTAAGTTTTGTTCTGCAGAGTTAGATTTTTAAAATATGCATTATATTACTTGAAGACTTGTCAACTATCTCCCAAGTATCAAACTGAAAACACTAGTTTTAACCTATAAAGCCCTTTCAGGAGAGAGGGCAGTGGAAATCACCTGGAGTATGTGTGGTTTAGAGCATAGGTCCTCACAGGGGATCCACAAAGGCTTGAAAAAAAAATCTTATGATCTGAGATGTAAAAAAGAAAAGGGAATGTATTTACATATGTGATGCTTTTGTGATATAAGGAATGGTCAATGATTTTCAAAGAGATAAGAGAGAAAAATGGTGTGGAAGTCCCCGATGATTGCTTTGTTGAATCTGGTTGGTAACAATCAATTGAAGAAAGAAGAAAATGAATTAATTATTATGATGGTGATGGTGGCAAGGTTAATAATTGCTAAACATTGGAAAAGTAATAATCAAATTAGTAGGGAGGAGTGGTATAGAGATGTGGAAGATGGCAATTAATGATAACTTGTGAAACAAAGATTAAAAGAGGAAGGATGAAATGTAATGATTTTAAACAATTATGGAACTTGTTTTGCTATATGTGTTTCAGAAAGGGAAGGGATACACTGGGAGACTCAATATATTACTAGAATGAAATGTCTGAAATATAGCAAAGAAGAACACATAACACAAGTGGGTTGTGCAGAACAAAATGGCTCATGTGATAATGTAGTGTTTTATATATTTTTTCTTTTTTGTTTAAATTAAATTAAATTTACCATGTTTTTTGCTCCATAAGACGCACCTCTCCATAAGACGCACCGAATTTTTAGGAGAAGAAAACAGGAAAATAAAAATCTGTTTTCTTCTCCTAAAAATTTGTTGAGCCTTATGGAGAGGTCCGTCTTATGGAACACACCCTAGGACCCTTTGGAGGCTCACCCTGCCCCTCCAGGGGCCAGAGGGGGCAAAACCGCCACCTTCAGGGCTCTTCTGAAGCTTCCCAAGTCTCAAAAGAGTACCAGAAGGTGGCGATTTTGCCCCCTCTGGCCCGGCATGGGGGTCAGGGTGAGCCTCCAAAGGGCCCTAGGGTCTGTTCCAGGACCCTTGCAAGGCTCCCCCCACCCCCACGGTGGGGGGGAAAATCTCCAGCTTCTAGGACCTTTTCTGAGGCTTGAAAGGCTCAGAAAAGTCTCCACCCACCCACCACGGGGTGGCGGTGTGTGAAATTACCAGCTTCTAGGACCTTTTCTGAGGCTTAAAAGGCTCAGAAAAGGACCTAGAAGCTGGTGATTCCACCCATGCTGGACGCGTGGGGGGTGGGGGGAGCCTCACAAGGGTCCTGGAAGGCCCCCTCGGACCCTTGCAAGGCTCTCCCCTTCCCATGGGGCCAGAGGAGGTGAAATCGCCAGCTTCTAGGACCTTTTCTGAGGCTTAAAAAGCACGACGATGACTTTCCCTATGGGGAATTTTCGCTTGACATCAATTAGGTCTGTGCTTCTCAAACCGTTTTTTCAAAAGATGACAAAGTTTTCCAGCTCCACAAAATGGCTGCCCTGTGTTTTCCGGACCCATGCTTCGCAGGGCAGTCATTTTAACAGCTGATCGGTGCTCAGAAAATGGCTTCCCCTATGGGTGATCTTCGCTGGACGACGAGGTGACTTCCCCATTGGAACACGTTAAATGGGTTTTAATGCATTCCAATGGGGAAACTGTTTTCGCTGGACGATGTTTTCGCTTAACAGTGATTTCAGGGGAACTGATTATCATTGTGGTGTAGGGCACCACTGTATGCTGCTTAGTGCTATGTGGCTATACTTCTCTGGATCAATATGTTGGCACCCGAGCCACGGGCACCAGGTAAGCTGAAATTTGTAGATATACAAATACTTATTTTTAAAGTGGAGATGTCATGATTGGAAATTCTGCAATCCTCTTGGCTACCCCCACTCTCTGGGTAGTTTACAAGTTAATTATGCAGGCTACATATTCCCCCCTCCCGCGACCTAGGTACTCATTTTCCCAACCTCAGAAGGATAGAAGGCTGAGTCAGCCTTGAGCTGGCTGCCTGGGATTGAACCCCAGGTCATGAGCACACTTTTGGCTGCAGTATAGCGGTTTAACCACTGCGCCACGGGACTCCTTCAGCATTCTTATAACAGTGGGAGTCTATGAATTTGGACTGTTTATAAAAATAAAGGATGCCGCGCGCTGAGCTCTTGGTTTAAACTTTGCTTTGTTATCTAGCAATGGCCAGTTGAAGAGTTTTGGGACACATCAGAGATTCACAGCTGGGCTAGTGTAAGGAATTTTCTGGTTCTGAGGTGGCGTTATATTGGAGGTTTATAGTCACTTACAATACGTGAGAATATGTTATCATGTTCTCACTATTGCAAAGGTTTCCTATAGTCATTTCCTCCAGATTTGTTTCCTTTTTTAAAATGTTTCTCTTTTTTTTGATATAGAGATGTTCAGTATAAAGTCAGTTCAAGAGAAGTATTGCTGTGGTTTAAGTTGATGAACATCTGATTGAAGACTAGATCTGAAACTATGGGACGGTATGTTCCAGTCTTTGTGGCTGTACTTCTCTGGATCGACACGTCGACACGTGAGTCATGGGCACAATGTAAGTTGGAATTTGTAAATGTGACTTCTTTTTTAAGCAAAGATGTCATGATTAGCAGTTCTGAAATCTTTTTATTTATTGCTTCAAAAATAATTGCATTAAAACTTAAATGAAAGCTAGAGTCAAAATCAGTCTTCAGTGTAACAGTGCTATTCTATGAATTTGGACTGTATGTAAAAATAAAGCACGGCACAAATTGAGCACTAAGTTAAAATTAAAAATTTTGAGCGTAAGGTGAAAGAAACAAAATTTAAGTGTCTCAAATAACATATGTGCCAGAATTTTCTAGACCAAGCTCAGTATTAAGACAGAATGATGATTTGGTTAAAGTAACTGAAATTTCAAAGAGAGAGAGAGAGAGAGAGAGAGAATTATATTACAGTGATTTATCTTTAAATGCATTCTTGTTTGCACTAAACTCTGTCTTGACTTAGGGCCAGTCTAGACTTACCATTTTGAGTGTGGGGTAGATCGGGCTACAGAGGGCCTCTTTGGTCAGAGAGAGAAGCATTGTGCCATTTGGTGTGCTCCTCACGTCCCAACAGCAAACAACCCCTTGTATCCTGATCAGCTGTCAATTTAAATGCTTCCACCATCTTCTGTGAAGGGTCAGGGGATGTTAAATTATTTTTTTCCTGTCACCAAAATCCCATGGATTTCTTGAAGCATGACTCTCACAGGTAAAAGTGCAAGGGTTTCTCCTGAAATGTAAATGGTGCATTAGTGTTGTTGGCCTAGGGCTGAGCAGGCCACAGGCCATCTACACCTTTATACAAAGAAGAGAGTATACAGCTCTTTTGGAGAAGAAAAGACCACAGATTTTATTGGTTACAGCAGCAGTCTGTGGCCCAGAATTGGAGAATTGTATCTGTTGCATTGAGAGACCTGATTGCCCCTCAGTGTCAACTACTGGCCCCTTCAGCAGCTGCTGAAGGTGCCACCAGGAGAGGCAATCCGCATGGGTGTATGCCATTCCATGACTCCCTGCCACCTGAGCCAAGGCCATACCAACGGATCTCCGAGTTAGGCCAGACCATGTCCTTGCCCCAGCTCTCGTCATGCTGATTCCTTTACTGAGCTAGGAGAGCAGGCTCCTGTCTGCTGCTCTCATTCTGTCTAGATCCAACCCCAAGGCCCCAAACTGCTAACAAAGTTGTGGCAAAGTAACAAGAGACATAGGTGATCACTTATCAGTTACTACTGACTAATAACCTTAATACTGAAGCAATAAAAAAGAAGGAAGGGAGAAGGGAAAAATTGTGAGCTGCCAACTGACCAGGAAGGTCCCAGCTCGTTTTTTATATTGGGCAGGTGGGCTGGAGTGAATCTTCCTGTTTTCTGGTCTGCTTGCCTGAGATCTGAATAACATTTTCTGCTGGCCAATCCAGGAGAAACCCAACTCTCTGGCCAATAGAAACCCATCTCTCCGGCCAATAGCCAACATTGGGGGTGGGACTCTGTGGGTCTGTGGTCTTGGCTGGACCGGGCTGCAGAGACAGCTCTCCCCCCCACATGCACTCCCCTCCCGCACACCCACCCGCAGTGCCCCTTTGCACATGTGCATGAGTGCACGCACACCTCTGCAAGCATCCCCACCCCATTTGGGCATGCACACAAGTGTGCCTGCCCTGTACATGTGTGTGAGTGCCTGCTTGCCCGCGCAAGCAAGTGCTGCCCTTTCATGTATGCACGAGAGCATGGGGGGTGCCCCCCGTGCACGGACCCCATCCCCCAACTGGTCTGTGGTGTCAAAAAGGTTGGGGACCACTGGTGTAGAGGTCATCATGCAGGAGTGACCATGCCAGCCTCTGGCCTCTTCAAGTGACTGTTCACCAGCCTTGGGCTGATGCTTGAGCAACAACTGGGGTGCCCTGTTTCTGTTACTTTTTAAAAGAATTATGATTTTTTTAAAAAAATGTTGAAGGTTAGTTGTGACTGTTCACCAGCCTTGGGCTGATGCTCCAGCAACAACTGGGGTGCCCCAGGTGAGTGTGGGTCCCTGTTTCTGTTACTGTTTTTAAGAATTATGATTTTTTTTAAAAAAAATGTTGAATGTTAGTGATATCTTATACATTGGTAAGTGTAACAGCTTTCTCATTTGTAATTTACAGTGTTGGATTACTCTTTTCTTTCTTTCTTTCTTTCTTTCTTTCTTTCTTTCTTTCTTTCTTTCTTTCTTTCTTTCTTTCTTTCTTTCTTTCTTCTTTCTTTCTTTCTTTCTTTCTTTCTTTCTTTCTTTCTTTCTTTCTTTCTTTCTTTTTCTTTCTTTCTTTCTTTCTTAGGTTTATGTCCCAGCTCTCAAGACACTGATTTTCCAAGCAGCTGTGAAGAAACAGGTAACAGAAACCCAAACATGCACTGTCACTCCAATAGTTTCAGTTCTGTATTTCCCGTTGTCTTGCAGCAGAGTGGGAGGAAATGAGACCCCTTCAGCTGTTCTATCTGTAGCTGATGAATGAATTACTGTAGGCTGGTCTTTTCCTTGCTTTGCTCTTCCTCCATGACCCTTGGTACAAAGACTTATGGTAGACACCAGTGTGTGCTTCTCTTCTCTTCTCCAGCTCCTGAGCATCAGACATTTGGGGCAAACTGTTCCTTTGCACATTTTGGTCATCTACTCTTTAGATTCTTCAAGGCTGAAGTTCTTCCTGACTTACAGCTTATTCATACATGCATGCACACAGAACTAGGGATATGAAGATATCTGGCCAATGTCCCTTTTCCTGGCAAGACAGGCTGCCAGGGATTTTCCAGTCCCTGTAAGAGTTTTTGCCTTCAGAGTGAAACATGTGTGTGTTTCATATAATTTATGCAAAATATCACTGACACCTTTCCCCTTTCTGAACCTGATTACACCCAACAAACCCAAAAGAATGCTCTGATTGTTCACAAGGATGCAATCAACCCATTTAGTGCTTCTGCTTTTCAATAGCCCAAGCAATGTGGCAGCAGTTAAATTTGGCAGATTTATAGATATGTACCAAAAATCAGCTTCACAAATGCATAAATTCCCTTCACAATCAACAAAAAAACACCCTTGTTTCATAAGTGAGGAGACAAAGCTTTGCACTTATTTGGCATGTGAGACTGAAACAAGAAAACATTTATATATCCCTAAATACAACTCCCACCAAAACAACACTCTCTTTATTTCTCTTCCCTAATAGACGTCTATGAGAATGACTTCTTGCTGTGAGCTCTTTCTACATGCTGTAAGCTCTTCTGCGTCCTAGGACTTTCATGAAACTCTGATCAATTTTGCTAGCGGGAGAAGGGTGGTGTGCAGCTCCAGATTTAGTCAGGGCAGTTTTGAGAGGCCCCATGTATCTCTCTCCACCACACTTTGTGACTCAACAGTGGAAGGCCATGGCTGAATCTGAGAACTGGCACCAGTGGATATATGGTTGGCTTGGATTCTAGCCCAAGCTTGCTTAAGGAACTTTGTGAAAGTAACATTTCTCATCCCCTTCCTCCCTCCGCAGTATCTTGTGCCCTTCCAGAAACCTTTCAGAGAGCTTGCGGCTCTTCTGAATAATATGGGATGGAAAGTGAGAGCTGTTGTGCGATGGCAGAATTGCCCCAAGTTGAACATATTTATTAGCTTCATTTATATCCTACCTTTCCTCCAGGGAGTACAAGGGAACATGTATAGCTCTCCTTCTCCCCACTTTATCTTCACAACAACCTTCTCAGGTGGGTCAGATTAAGAAAAAATGACTGGCCCACCTTGTCATTTTCAGGTTCCACAGGTATTCAAATTCATTTGGATTTGAAACCCTCACTGGATCTCTAACTTGGAAGTTCATAAAAGGAACATTCCAAAAGTCGCACACACCTTTCTGCGTAGCTCAGGGCGGTGGTGGAGGTTGTTGCCTTCTGGAAAGGCTTTTGGAGTTAACTCATATGAGATCGGCGACATTGTGCACAAAGTGGTGTGATGTGATGTGACATTTCTAATTGTAGTGTTGAATTTGTGGTGCCTCCTTCCAATAGGCTTCACTGCTGTTCTATCTCATTAATATCCAGCAATGAATGAAGATGTATGAGCCAGTCCTTGCTGTTGAATTGTACTTAATAATAGTTGCATGTAATTTTTTCTGTATGCTCACTGGGGCTTCCCTGGCAATTTTCCAACCATGCCTCCTTACATTGCCTTGAAGTCGACACCCAAATCTCCTTTTTGGCTGTGCCTTAGGATGCAGTAGGTGCTGCAAATGGGGAGGAGGCCTCCAGGATTATGTGCAATCTGCAGATTACTCTTTGATCGGATTTTCCATACATTGGAGTTTGAATGCTGAAAAACCATATTAGCATTTCCATTACAAGGTATACATTTGGATCTTAGGCGGGAAGCCTAATCTTATTGAATATTTTGCTTCTCATTGCAATCACTCACATTTTCCAGATGACAGCAATCATGCATGTATAAATTACACAATTATCAATCAGAATAATGAGAGAATGGAGATCTTGTGGGCTGCCAGAGAAAATTTTCCTGAAGTGAACACAACAATGTTTTATGAGTAAGTACTGATTCATTTTTCTGCTTTCCCTTCTTGCTCCACTTGGCTTTCCCCTAGACACTATGCTGCCTTCTGCACAGCAGGTAAGGATGACTAACAGGTTTGTGAGCAAATAGAACAACCTGGGACTGCTGTGCGCTATAAAGAAGAGATGCTTGATATTGGTCAATGGCATAGGTGGATATGATGCCGGAGCCACTAGGATTTTTCCTAATCTCAGTACCACCTCTGCCTGTTCTCTTAATACTTTTGTCCCCATGTACCTACTCCTCATGCAGGTTTCTAAGATGTGTATGATAAATAAAGGAATTTTACTGTAATTGTATTTCTTACAGACTGTGGTGCATGGTAGACTACATCAGTACTGTTCACATAGCACTGTGTGTATATTAAATTAAACTGCATATGGGATGTGTAAGTTGGCCGAATATTGACATATTTGAAAAATTTTAAAAATCAGTAAGAAACACACAGATGATGAGAAGAAATGGAATTTTAAACATTGTAGGAGCAGTGTAGATTTAACTGCTTACTGGTAAGACCTGTACATGAAGATGCACCAAGCAGAATGAAAGTAGAAGTGTACAGTATTGTAATCATTGACCCGGTTTTTGGCTGGACAGCGCTCCATTGACCTGGTGGGATAATCGTCTGGACTGAAGAGAGGAAGGGTTTGGATGCATTACATTTAAAAATAGAAAAATATGCTTCACAATTACGAGGGGAGGTCAAGGAAGAAGAGAATCGTGGCCGTGGTGACAGCACTGGCACTTCCAGTGGCACCGTAGCAGAGGACTGTTGGACTGTTTCAAATTGCTGCCCATTGTCAAGACACCTTGGAGCAGCAGATTTTTTAAAAAAAGAAGGAAAGGAATTTGGAAAATATTTGAATAGAAGGAAAAAGGAAATTGGCTTACAGAACTTGAAGCCAGAAGCAGCAACTGACATCCTAACCCTGTACTCTTTTCTCTCTCTCTGCTGAAGAGCAAGGAAGTAGACAAATAAGCATTTAACAATCAAACCCACGTTTCCTCAAAATACACATAGTGACTGTTCACACTGTGTGCATTTTCTTTGTGTATATTTTGTTTCTCTTAATGCTAGACGTTCAACTGAGTGGTTATTTTTTTCTTATTTGAACGTGTGGTTAATGACAAACTTTTTTTTCGAAATATGATGGTGTGTTTGAAGAATTTGTTGTGTACTGCAAACTGTACACAACAGTTGGTTATGGTTCAGTATGGAAAAGTGTGGGAAATTGTTTCCAGTGTGGAAAAGCAACATATTAACAAATTAAAGTAATTGATATTATCAGGATTTCCCTAACAAAACACATGACGTTTCTCTTATCTCATTTAAAGCCGGGACATACTGAGTGCTTTGCTTTGCGTCCTCTTGAAAGCATGGCTTATTTTTAGTATCAGTTTTAGAGTGTGTGTGTGTGTCGAGTTTAGCTCTATGATGTTTCCTATGGTGAAAGATTTCTGTGGGATGCTGTTCTGGCCTGAGAGACAGATTCAGTGACTCTGTTTTTGCTGCACGTGAGGACTGTTGCCCCAGCTGCTCTGGTTTCAACTTCTAGGAAGCTTAATGCAAGGAAGCACATTAAAAGTGGGTGTGTAAAATAGGTGGTTTCACACCTGTTTGTAGATATGTAAGCCACAGTAAAAAGCTTACTGTGATTTACATACAAATGAGTATTTCCTGCCCTGGCTACATTTCATCTTTTCAACTCTCTTTCTTAATCTGTGGTTCCAGGAACTGGACACAGTATTCCAGGTGATGTCTCACCAAAGTAGAGTAGAATCACAATACAGTACTTATGGTTATGGGTTTTTCGGGCTCTTTGGCCGTGTTCTGAAGGTTGTTCTTCCTAACGTTTCGCCAGTCTCTGTGGCCGGCATCTTGAGGACAGCACTCTGTGCTCTCCGGTGTTGTCCAGTATTTCAGTATTTTGAAATAGAATTTCATGTCCAGTTTGTTTCAGGGCATGTTCAGCTACTGCAGATTTTTCTGGTTGTTTTAGTCTGCAGTGTCTCTCATGTTCTTTGATTCTGGTGTGGATGCTTCGTTTTGTGGTTCCAATATATACCTGGCCATAACTGCAAGGTATCCGGTATACTCCTGCAGTAGTGAGGGGGTCCCTTCTGTCCTTTGCTGACCGTAACATTTGTTGCACTTTTGTGGTGGGCTTGAATACTGTTTGTAGGTTGTGTTTTTTCAAAAGTTTCCCCATGCGGTCCGTGACCCCTTTGATGTATGGCAGAAATACTTTATTTGTGGGTGGCTGTTTTTCTTCTTCAGTTCGGTGTTGTTTTCTTGATTTGATGGCTCTTGTGATTTCATTTTTTGAGAGCACAGAGTGCTGTCCTCTGAAGATACTGGCCACAGAAACTGGCGAAACGTTAGGAAGAACAACCTTCAGAACACGGCCAAAGAGCCTGAAAAACCCACAACAAACGTTAGAACCTGGCCGTGAAAGCCTTCGCGAATACAATATTACTTATCTTGATCTTGATAGTATACTTCTGTAGATGCAACCTAGTATTGCATGTGCTTTTTTGCTTTTTTCTTCTTTTCCCTTCTTTTAAACTACTGTATCCTATTGTTGACCCATAGGTAGAAATCTAGTAGTAAATTGCAATTAGAGCAGACCCATTGAATCAATGGAATTTATGGAGGAGTTGACTCACCAAATCCCCACTGGTCTAATGGACTTACTCTAGTTGTGACTTATGACTGGCTTTCAGCCATAATTAGCTTGTGGGCTGCCAAGACCCCTAAATTCTTTTTTACATCTACTACTTCAAATCCAGCTTTTATCCATCATACAGTATATCTGTGCACTGAAAAAAATTCTTCCAGTATTAGTAAAGGGTATGTGATAGAGATGGGCATGAACCTCAGTTCAGAGGTTTGTGCCAGTTTGGTGTTGCACCCAGATGGGTGTTGTGCGACATCACGTACTTCCCTCCCTCCTCCTCTGCACACTCACCCATTTCCCAGGTGATGTGTGCTTTCCTCCCTGACTTCTCCACATGACTGCCCACTCACTGTTCACAGCTGTACTCCCATTCTCTGCCTCCTCCAGCAGCCACCCACGGAGACAAGGAGGCAGGGCAGGTCTTCTTGGAGTGGGTGGCTGCTGGAAGAGTTGGAGGAGGGAAGCACAGGTGCTAATGGTGAGTGGGCAGTCACACAGAGGAGGCAAGGAGGGAAGAACACATTACCCAGAGAATGGCGAATGTGCAGAGGAGGAAGGAGGGAGAAGTGCATCATAGGCATCCTTCAGTCTCGGGAGACTATGGTAACATGCTCTGTATCGAGAAGTGTCCTCTCCAGAGCATGAAGCCTGGGTACATGGCATCTGCATAACACCTATGCAGGAACAGCACCAAATTTTCAGTAGGTCTTACTCATAATTCTGGATCCAAATTGCTTCTTTTAAAAGAAGATATTTTTGTCACATTATTGAGTGTCACTACTTCAATTGCAGATATAACGAGCAGGGGCAGAAGCAATGCCCCCAATATATAACTGACCAAGGATATAACACTGGATGTGTCTTCCAGGCTGAACGAAATGCTAATCTTCTTATTTCCATCTGGGATGCAAATGGGACAAAAGAACTTTATTATGATGAGCAAGACACATCAACATTTTGTAAGTCAGTGCATATTATTAATTCACATATGTCAGTACTTAACTTAGCTGTTGTATCTCTCCCATCACATACATTCTGAAGCAAATAAATCATATTTTGATTCCTGATCTTTTTCTCTGTGCTGATATTTATGTTTATTATTCTCCAGCAGGACATGTATCTCATACCCTCTTGCTCTTAGAGAAGAACCAAGAGGAAAAATCACTCTACAGTACTTCTCACAGCAAGATTCTCTGTGTGAGATTCCCCCACCCCATCCCCCAAGAAATCTCTCAGGGGGATCCGATATGATTTCTCACAGGTTTCCTGGTCATGATTTTCTGTGTGCAGGGTTCTTACAATGGTATCTTTCCTGTGCAGGAATCATCTGGAAAGAGCAGAGGAAGATCCAAACCCTGCAGGATTGTTACAATTCCTGCACCAAATGGCACTGTTCCTGTATAGGTTGCACTTAATAAATGCAGAAGAAACTGCATAGAATTGTTACAAGTTTTGTGCTGAACAGCATCTTCCCTGTACAGGATTCACTGGGAAAGACATTAAATTGTAGATAATTTGCCATTTTTCTGTGTAGAACAATAAGTGAAAATGGAGGGAAGGGAAGCAATGAGAGCGGGTCTCATTTTTTGCAGCCAACTGGACAATCTTATTGATACTGGGTAAGTTTTGGTGGGCAGTCTTTACATGGCAAATGTTAGAAAATCACCAGTAATAAGAAACTTTTGCCATACTCATCACATCCCTATTCTCCAGGTGTTCCTTAGATACTTGATACTTAGATACCCCTGTGGCCCAGGCTGGTGATACTTGTCTGGAATATTTGACAATGTTTATTTGACATTCAGCATTTTTCTCTACATTATGCACTGTTTCAAATGTGCCAACTTCCCACATTCAGTTGTGCCAAGGAATCTTTCTCTACTACAGAGAATTGAGCACTTCCACTTTCTTGTATTTTCCAGTGTAAACTGACAATGGGCAGAATACACTCCACCTTTGCCTTTAATGGTTTATGCCTATAGCTAACCATTAACAGGAGAAACTCAGGCTTCCTGAGCAGCATGACCAATATTCCTCAGATTCTCATGGCACGTGGGGACAGGGGTAAATCCCTAAAGATCTAGAGTTACTCTCAGAACCACTAGTATTGTGAACAGCATTTGATTCTTGGTATGCTATATTATTTGATATTTGGTAGTATTTTAATAATTGGGACCTCTGAGCAGTTTCAAATGTCAGTGGCTCCTCTTTTATCCAATTATATGGTATTATATTGCAGGAATGTGGCTTTTGTGGTATTACCTTAGCTACCTGGTGCTTTAAAAATGTATATGTTTTAAAAAAATATCCTGTAGCTATGAACTATGAGCTTGGCTGATCAAGTTTCTGTGGTGGCCAGGAGTGCATCTGCACAATGAAAACTGGTGCACGAGTGGTACCCATTCCTTGACTGTCTGATTTGGCTGTAGTGATTTATGCTTTAGCTATATCTCACTTGGATTACTGTAACATGCTATATGTGGGGCTGCCTTTGAAGACAGATGGGAAACCTCATGTGGTTCAACATGCAGTTAGAGGGAGCATATAGTGCCCCTGCCAAAACAATTTCGTGGAATACTAGTCTGTTCCCTATAAAGCCTTACGTAGTTTGGGTTCAGGCTATCTGAAAGACTCTGTATCCACATATGAGCCTTCTTGGCCTTAAGATCTACAGGACAGCCCTTCTTTTTGGTCCCATTGCCACTGCAGGCACATTTGATGGGGACATGAGAGAGGTCTGTCTTTATGGCTGCTCCCAATTTGTGGCACACTCTTCCCTAGATGCTTAGGTTAGCCCCCTTCCTTTGATCCTTCTGCCAACACCTCTTCAGGCAGGCTTTAATTAACCATAATGGAACCCCTGAATGCTGGTTTTCAGGTAAGTCACTTTTAAAGTTTCAAATGCTTTTAATGGCTTGATATATTTTAAATTATTATTGTTATCAAATTGGTTTTTAATGTGTGGTTTACTGTGTTTGTAATTTTACTTGTTTAAACGTTGTGAGCCATCTTGGGGCCCCTCTCTGGGTGAAAGGCAGCCTACAAATGATACAAAACAACAAAGCAAGCAAACAAACAGAAGTATATGGAATGCTGCACTGTGCAGGAACAAAGAGGTTCTTAAAAAGGCAAATTATCAAGCATGCATATGTCTATAATGAAGATTTTTTTGGGAAGAATTGTAACAAGAAAGACTGTAATTTGTATTTATTTTTATTTGTATTTATTTTTTACCAGTCAAGCCCAACCCACCTGAAAATGTAACCTTCCAGTGGACCAATGACAAACTAACAGTACAGTGCAAATCTCCAGATGCCCCACACTGTTTTCACTTTCAGCTTCAGTACAAAAGCAGATTTGATGAAAATTGGCATGTAAGTAAATGGGAGGTGGTGTTTTAAGGGGGAAGTGGAAGTGGAGACTTGGAAAGGGACTTTCTCTTTTGTGAAGAATTTCCCATTAGATTTCTCACCAGACCATGTGATGAATTCAAGTCTTTATGATGCCAGCAGCTCCAAAGTGAACTTGATCTTGCAAAAAGCTGTCCAGCAACAATGAGCTTGCTGCTTATTTTGGCTTCATCTTTTTCCTGTTTTGATCAGTTTTACTCTGAGAGCAGATTAATGCAAGATAGGATGAAAGGTGCACAAGACTTTCTTTCTTTCTTTCTTTCTTTCTTTCTTTCTTTCTTTCTTTCTTTCTTTCTTTCTTTCTTTCTTTCTTTCTTTCTTTCTTTCTTTCTTTCTTTCTTTCTTTCTTTCTCCCACACCACAGTAATATAAAACACACACACACACATACAGTATATACTTCTCAGTGCCTTATTTAAAATAGTTTTTACTCACATAGCAGCACCTTTTCAAGTATCATTTGTACATGAATGCAACTTCTATCTGGGCTGTATCTTCCTGGCCTGCTCACAGTACATCTGACCAGCATTGCAGTGGAGCCAGAGTTCACAGGGCTTAAATGTTAAGACATCTTTCTTTCTTTCTTTCTTTCTTCACATTGCAGTGGAGCCAGAGTTCACAAGGCTTAAATGTTAATACTTTTTAATTAGCAGGGCTGAAAGTAGAGATGGGCGTGAACTGCAGTTTGGTGGTTCAGTTTAGTTCAGTGTGGTGCCCACACAGATGTTCCTCAGATACCACCCACTCCCCTCTCTCAATTGCTCTGCATGCTTGCCCATTCCCTGGGTGAAGTGCACTTCTCTCCCTGCCTCCGCAGTGCAACTGCCCACTCACCAATCGTAGTACGTGCTCCTCTCCTCTGCCTCCTTTGACGGCCCTCTACTCAGATGAGGAGGCAGGGCAGGGAAGTCCACGGTGCTGCCTTTGAGTGGGTGGCCATTGGAGGAGGCAGAGAAGGGAAGCATGCACTGTGATCACTAAGAGGGCAGTTGTGCTGGAGGAAAGCATGCTTCACTTAGTGAATGGGAATGCATGCAGAGGAGGTGGGATAGAGAGCGCTAGGAGCCTGTGGAGCACCTATGCAGACACCATGTCAAACTGGGTCAATCCTATGAATTGCGGTTCATGCCTCTCTCTAGCTGAAAGCCCTGTCTGTTTTTTTCCAGACTCAGGTTCCCTGCTTGTGCTATCCAAACAGCCTGTGGAGCACCTATGCAGACACCATGTCAAACTGGGTCAATCCTATGAACTGCGGTTCATGCCTATCTCTAGCTGAAAGCCTTGTCTGCCTTTTCCAGACTCAGGTTCCCTGCTTGTTCTATCCAAATTTAGCTGCAATCAACACAGGTGGCATTGGTTGGTATACATTTCATAGTGACAGTATAGTTTATGCACTATCTTAGTTAGCTATGTGCCATCAAGTCAGAACTGACTTATAGCAGGTCTAATAGGCCTTTCATGGTAAGTGAGATATTTAATAAGCAGTCACACTCCAGTGAGTACCTGTGGCCAAGCGGGGACCTGACGCTTGATCTCCAGAGTTCTATTCCATCACACTAGATACTCATAAGCTTTCTTATTACTATCCAAAGTATCTCTAACTCACTTGTAATTTAATGGCAATTAAGACTCGTTATTACAGTGGACCCTCTACTTACGGAATTAATCTGTATTGGAATGGTGGCTGCAGGTCAAAAAGTCTGTAGGTCGAGTCTCCATTGACTTACAATACATTGAAAACCGATTAATCTCGTAACTGGCTGTTTTTGTTCCATTTTTGTTTCATTTTGGTTTTTTTCTGGTCTGTAGGTCGATCCTCTGGCTGCAAGTCGAACCTAAATTTTGCAGCCAGAGAAGTCTGTAACTCGAAAAGTCTGTAAGTCGAGGGTCCACTGGTATCATTATATAAAGCCTGTTTGGATGGCAATTAAAACTGTTAGAATAGTTTTATTAATATGGTTCAGCATGGCTGCAATCCCGCTTCTAGACAAATTTGTTTGTTTATATGCCACACAATATAGTGACTTTGCCACTACTCTAGGTAGTTTCTAGAAGTAAAAGAAACACACAAAGAACAGCCAGATTCCTGCTGCTTTATCTCTCTGACTACTGCTGGAGCAACTGGAATTACTTCAAAGGCAATGGCTACAAAGCCCTCCAAATCGGCTCAAGCCAGATTCCTGCTGCTTTATCTCTCTGACTGCTTCTGGAGCAACTGGAATTACTTCAAAGACAATGGCTACAAAGCATCACATCACCACAACGAATGCAAAAACACATGACTTTTTTTAAAAATAGATGCCTAAGACAATGGCTACAAAGCATCACATCACCACAACGAATGCAAAAACACATGACTTTTTTTTTTAAATAGACGCCCCATCAGCAGAGGAAGAAACTTCAATTGAGGAGGGAAACTCTGGGCTGATTTGCATTGACTTTTACATCATGTAGTAAATACAAAATGATTTGAATCTACATCATTTGTCAATGTAGTCTCACCCTTAGTTCCAGAACTTGTGCTTCTAATGAACACATAGAGGAGGTTAGACAGTGGGATGTGAGATGGGGGAAAAGCAGAAGGGAAAATAAAATGAAGAATCAGTGGGAAGTAGATGAAGCCAAAATATTTCATTCCTTGAAACAAAGAAAGATGACACAAATAGTAATCTTTGTTGTGTTCATTTCAAATAGTTTTGGTGTCTAACTATGGTTGTTACTATGTCCCATTATCCTAAAAGACAAAAAAAATACATTGGTCAAAAGTGCAAGTGACTGATATACTCTTGCCATTCAGTCCAGGAAAGAGTCATGCTGCAAGCTTCAGGACCAAGGATTTGATCCAGTGAAGTGCTACACCTTTCGATTCAGGTTGATTTACCATTGCGGTGTTTATTCCAGTGAATGGAGTAATCAGACTTCCTGGGAAAATGGCAGCTCTGTCGGTAAAAATAGTTCTTGTTGCTACGCTAAATCCTTTTGATGATGCCTTTTTCTGATTAATATATGATGAACTACTCATTTCTGGTGCTTGTCATTAGCGTGCAGAGTGTGCTGTCTATCTGCTATATAGATCATAAAACTGGTTGTTGTGGGTTTGAAGATGCCGGCCACAGAGACTGGCAAAACGTTAGGAAGAACAACCTTCAGAACATGACCAAAGAGCCCAAAAAACCCACAACAACCATTCGATCCCAGCCGTGAAAACCTTCACGAAGATCATAAAACGAATTGACACACAGACCCCATTTTTTGATCTATGTCTTATGCTTTGAGGAACTTGTGCTTGAGCATCCTTCTTCAATCCCATGGAATGTTGAGGCAGGACAAGGCTCTCTAGGACTGCAGGGAGTGGGTTTGCCATTGCTTGGCCCTGAATTCTCAGAGGCAAAAGAGGACTGGGATTTAGAAGATAGAACTGTGCAGAAGAGGTAGAAAATTATTGGCATTTCTCCTTGGGTAACGAGAACTTCGTAAAACTAGTATTGGCAACAACTTGTAGGAGAAAGTGGGAGCAGGATGGGAAGTAACTCCCTGGTACCTCCAGGTCTGAGCTGGGATATGTGTCTCACTTGACCATCTGAAGATGGGGTTTCTCCCTCTCCTCCCCTTCTGGTCACAAAAGCAATCTATTGAAGTGTATGGCTGTGCAATAGTCCTCCTGGGGCTGCAATTAAGTGGCTAGTTTCCATCTTTTCCCTACTACCGATATGTGGGTTCACTGGTTTTTAGGATTGTGAACCTGAGCTCACTGAAGTCTAGGAATGGGTCAGATTACATAGTTTTTTCCTTACCTGAAGCCTGCAGCACAAATTAGGACAACCTACAACACATGTTCTCTTGAGAAAACTAATAGAGTTTTGTCAAGAGAACAAGCTGGTCATCACAAACACTTTTTTCCAACAACACAAGAGGCGACTACACATGGAAATCACCAGATGGGCAATACTGTAATCAGATTGATTATATTCTCTGCAGCAAAGATGGAGAAGCTCTATACAGTCAGCCCCCCCCCAAAAAAAATAAGAAAGAAAGAGAGAGAGAGAGACCTGGAACTGATTGTGGCTCTGATCATCAGCTTCTCATAGCAAAATTCAAGCTTAAACTGAAGAGAGTAGGAAAAACCACTGGGCTAGTCAGGCATAATCTAAACCACATCCCTTATGAATATACAGTGGAATTGAAGAACAGATTTAAGGAAGTCGATTTGGTGGACAGAGTGCCTGAAGAACTTTGGACAGAGGCTCGTAACATTGTCCAGGAGGCAGCAACAAAAACCATCCCAAAGAAAAGGAAATGCAAGAAAGCAAAGTGCCTGTCCAACGAGGCCTTACAAATAGCAGAGGAGAGAAGGGAAAAAATGCAAGGGAGATAGGGAAAGCTACAGAAAACTGAATGCAGACTTCCAAAGAATAGCAAGGAGGCCTTCTTAAATAAACGATGCAAAAAAAATAGAGGAAAATAATAGAAAAGGAAAAACCAGAGATCTGTTTAAGAAAATCGGAGATATTAAAGGAACCTTTTGTGCAAAGATGAACATGATAAAGGACAAAAATAGTAGGGACATCACAAAAGCAGAAGACATCAAGAAGAGGTGACAAGAATACACAGAGGAATTATACCAGAAAGATCTGGATGTCCCAGACAACCCAGATAGTGTGGTTGCTGACCCTGAGACAGACATCCTGGAGAGTGAAGTCAAGTGGGCCTTAGAAAGCTTGTCTAACAACAAGGCCAGTGGAGGCGATGGCATTCTAGTGGAACTATTTAAAATCTTAAAAGATGACACTGTTAAAGTGCTACATTCAATATGCCAGCAAGTTTGGAAAACTCAGCAGTGGCCAGAGGACTGGAAAAGATAGTTTACATCCCAATCCCAAAGAAGGGCAGTGCCAAAGAATGCTCCAACTACTACACAATTGCACTCATTTCCCATGCTAGCAAGGTTATGCTCAAAATCCTGCAAGGTAGGCTTCAGCAGTATGTGGACCGAGAACTCACAGAAGTACAAGCTGGATTTCGAAGGGGCAGAGGAACTAGAGACCAAATTGCTAACATGCGCTGGATTATGGAGAAAGCCAGAGAGTTCCAAAAAAAAATCTACTTTTGTTTCATTGACTATGCAAATGCCTTTGACTGTGTGGACCACAGCAAACTATGCAAGTCCTTAAAGAAATGGGACTGCCTGAACACTTTATCTACCTCCTGAGAAACCTATGCGTGGGACAAGAAGCAACAGTTAGAACTGGATATGGAACAACT